TGAACACTGACTTCTGACTCCACCAGCCTTAGGGTTGGCAGTGCTCATCAGTGCTGCCATCACCAGGCTCTAAAGAATGTGGCAAAAGACTTCCATGGGAATTCTTTCCAGAAGAGAGGAAAAGTGCTAGCAGGTACGTAGTTTAAAGAAAACCCTTTGGAGTTGTGGTTTCTTTATTCTTCAGCACATCTTCTCTCAGTTCAGCAAGGGAGATTTTCAGTCTGCACACAGAGAGGACTTTCCATCGTAACTCATGCACGTGGTAAGTTAGAAGTGTCAAAATCCTTTTACTAACTATTCTGCCTACGTGTTCACTTTCTATTGACAGTGGACTTGTTAGAGCTGATAATTCAAAAAATACAATATTTATAACTTATTGATGATTTATTTTAAACCTCTTTCACAGCCTGATGCACATGAGGCAATTTAAATCACCAAAGCTCTGTTTAGCAACCAACACTTCATTACACAGAATGGAAAAGTTCACCCATTTGTTGGTGCTGTATTATTTTGGGCTGGCTGAAGAGCAAACAATCCAGCAAGGCTCAGAGTTGCCCGTGGGAAGGCTGTCTCCAAACCAGAGGACAGAAACTGTCCTGTTCTGACAAAGGCAAGCAAGTTCTGCAGAACGCAGAACAGCATCAGTCCACGGCGTCGAAGGACAGGCACAGCCACTCTCCCCAGGGAGGCTAAGAGAGCTTCTTCAAGTTCAGCTGAGTGATGGGGTCTTGACTGAAGGAGGGTCTGTGCAAGCCCTTTTCATTGCAAGGAGATACTTTTTTGTATTAATAAACCCTGTTCATTCTGATACAAAACAAGCCACAAACACAGAAACAAACAAACAAACAAAAACCCCCACGAAACAAAACCCAAAAAACAACCCAAAAAACCCCAAACAAACCACAACCAAACCAGAACAGTGAACCTAGCCTCATGTAAATTTCTTTTTTTAAATTTAATCTTACAGTACTAATTTCAGAATCTCAGATGACTTAAAAACTGAAGATTAAAAATCTGCATTCTGAATTCACCATATAAATTCTGCTGAAGTTACTAGATACATATACACAGACATACCTAATGAGTACAGGCTATGCAGATATATTGTATAATGTACATTTATACAAAAGTGAAGGCATGTACCATGCAATGGAACGTATTTAGATCACAAATTCTTCATGGCAAGCGTCATTCTTGCGTCCTGTGCTTATCCACTGCCTGGTGCATGGTGGGGTTCCCAGACACTCCTAGGACTTCTGGCCAAATGATGAACGGAAGCAGTAATAAAAAGTCTGTACTTTTCACCAATGTGAACAAAAATCCCAATTGTAAACGAAAGAACCAAATCTAGCCGAGTTAAATATTATGCACATTCCCACTCTCCATCCCCATTCCACGCCACAGTTGGTTTTCACCTGCTTTGTTTGTTCTCTCTCCTCTCATTAAACAGTTTGAAAAAGTAATACTTCTGGTTTTTCTTAAGGCATGGTCCAAAGGCATATGGCTCTTTACGTGATCCAAAGCAGTACTCCTGGATATGGAATTCTTTCCTGATATCCTAAAGTGCTCCTACTTATTTCAAGCATTTCACTCATCCATGATGCAACTCTCTGGATCACAACTCCTGGCTACGTCCCATCTTCCTCTCTCCCCCTTGCTCTGTGAACTTACTTTGGCTTCAGGCACAGCACAGCACCCGCGTGATCCGGAACCTACCTAGACCCTCAGCAGGAGGCTGGTTTGAGAACAATCACCTGACAGAACGGTTTAGCAGAGCAGCCCAATCTACGCGATGACCCTTTTTCTACGCGTAGACACCACGGCACATTAAAGCAGTGGAACATCTTGTAAAGCCTGCTGGGTGAGGAGGGTTCAGCGAGGTTCCCCTCCTTTCCCTCCTGCACAGCAGCTCCTTTGTTGCTGCCTCTTCCTCCAGATCCTGTGATGGGACGGGAGTCCCGCGCTTCTCCCACACCAAAATGGGGCTGCCAAGATAATTTACGGGCCCTGTGGCCAACAAAAAAGTCCCGGGCCTCCTTGGGTTACCTCGGAGTCCTGCTTTTCTCCACCCATTGTGCCAGCTTGTCCTCTCAGATTTTACAGATGCCAGCAAAGGTTTCGGGCCACACAAACATCCTTCAGTGCACGCTGCTGTTTGAACAAAAGTCCTCTCCTGGCTTTGCCAGTGCGGTGCTGCTTCTGGCCGAGTAAACACAGGACCAGGGGGGAGGGAGGGAGGAGAGGAGCGGCACGGCAGGGAGATGGGGTGCCTGATGGGTACAGCTGGGGCTGGCAGCGAGGAAGAGCTGCTCCCGGCTGTCTCGGCACCTTTGCTTTTTGCACTGGGAACCCACAGCTGCCTTCGCACCAGGTCCTTCCAGGCCTGCGTGGCTGGAAAACAAGAGGCGCAGGCAACATTTCTGCAAAGGACGTGGAGTTAAAGCTCGGGAATTCCCACTATCCCCTTTCATTTCGGCACCAACTGAAGAATAAAAAAAAAAAAAAGGTTTCACTTGACTTCGGCCTCCCCCTTCACCCCCAAGAGCC